TTTTTTTATATCCAGGTACAGATGCCAGAAATTTTGATTCCCGTGTTTTTTTCTGTCCAGAAAATCTCTATCCCTTCCATTGAAATGGTTTGCCGTGGGGCAGTGTTGGCGGTATGAGAGGATGACGAGGGGGAGGCGTAGGGAGCATTACCAGTGGAATATGGACATTATTGGTGTACCTGAAGTTACGGTATAGAGCTGAAATTTTTGATAATCCATGCAATACTATATTTGATACTGAAATTTTTGGTACGGGAAAAGATAATCCATGCTAACTAGTTTTGCATGCTTATATGATTCTGATTTTAATGATTTTGTCCAACACTCTTGCATTGATTGAAATCTCCATCTGCTCCACATGATGCATGGCACATTGTTGTATTTGATTGTATTATGTTATATGCATTTCCCTAACAAGCTTGGATTTTTTTTCTCTCCATGTTCTAGGCTGAAGCAGAACTTATTTCTTCAATTGTCACTTTCTTCAAGCGATTAGGAATTACCGCATCAGATGTTGGATTTAAGGTTTCAAGTCGAAAGGTGTGGATGGTTTTTCCTTGCATGAACTAAGACAATCAGATTCAAAGTTCTTCATAACATTTGTCTTTCTGATATTGTTCGTCTGTCTGTGGGAGGTCTGTTTCCAAAGGCTTTGTATTGCCACATGCTTCTCAAGTTGCTTTTCAAAATAGAAAATGAAAACAACTTATACATCCCAATTGTTTTGAACAATATAATATTCTGGGTTATTATGATATACTCACAATAGTTGCCAGAAGCCACACAAAAAATAAAAATAAAAAGCCTTGCCACTGTTTGTTTCATTAAAATGAGTTTTGATGATTTTTTTTTTGCTATAGTTTATGACTACTAGTCTACCTTGTTAATCTTTTAAGTTTTAAGAGACATTTGATCCACACTCATCCTCACATTAGAACTCTTGTTTTATTAATGATTTTTGGAAACCGGGGCAGATGATTCTTCTACTTTTCTTACATTACAGGTTTTGCAAGAAGTATTGAGGCATTACTCCATACCCGAAGCTTTATTTGGCAAGGTTTGCATCATCATAGACAAGGTAAATTGTGCAAGGTTGCAAGTTTTGGATTGCATCTGAATCTGTTGTGGTTTTGTACTTTATTGTTCTTGAAAAAAAATCTGATGTGAATGCCATGATGACCA